TGTTCTCTCCGTGCATGCGTGGGTTTTCTCCGGGTACTCCGGTTTCCTCCCACAGTCCAAAAACATGCATGTTAGGCTGATTGGTAACTCTAAATTGTCCCTAGGTGTGAGTGAGAGAGTGAATGGTTGTTTGTCTCGTTTGTCTCTATGTGGCCCTGTGATGGACTTGCGACCCGTCCAGGGTGTACCCCGCCCCTCGCACAGTGATTGCTGGACATGGGCACCAGCGACCCCCGTGACCCAAAATGGAATAAGCGGGCAAAGAAAATGGATGGATGGATGGATGGGTTACTGCATATTAGGAAACTGCAGTTCCTTGTACACTAATCTAAGTTGATACATGTTTTCAAGACAGGAGCTCAGCAGTTTGCAGTAACAGAGAAACTTTATAAAATCTCAACCTGAAATATTAAGAATGCGACCCATTTTGGACCAGTTTAGCTCACCAGCCTTGGACTTACATTGCATAGAAAACAGTGAATATTTAAAGATTAAATCTGCAGTTAAAACAAGCTATGCCACATTTTTTAGCTCATTAATTGCCTATAATGTGTTTAATTTGTTGGCATATTTTTGAACACCTTTTATAAATATGTCAGTTTTAGTTCTACATACAAGACAACAGATTGTTACTCACACTGACATTATGTAAATAACTTAACTTTTAGATCGTTTTTCTGTATTCTTGGGTGAATACTCCTCTTCATCTGCACATATCTCTTGTGGCGTACCGCAAAGATCTGTTTTAGGCCCTATTCTGTTTCATTTATAAATGTAGCCTTTGTGGTCAATATTCAAAAAGTATATTTCCTTTCATTGTTATGCTGATGATATCCAAATATATTTTCCTTTTAAAGTGGATGTCTTTTCTCTACTGGAGCCTTTGTACACCTTTACTGTGTACAAGATGCCAGACTGGTTGACTCAGAATTGTCTGACCCTGAATGAAAACAAGATAAAAATTTCTGTATTTGAATATCACACTCCTCTCAATGAGCTAACTGATATCTTTGGCCTTCTTGCTACTGATTAGTCCTCCATGGTCAACGAATTTTGAGTGTTTTTGACGGTTCTTTTAAATTTGAGAAGGAAGTATTTACATTTATTAAAATCAGTTTTTATCAGTTACATCAAATTGTCATATCAAAATCCTACATTCTTCTAAAAGACTTAAAACTCTTGCCTTTTTGTCACCACTAGATTGGACTACTGAAAGTTTATACATTGGCCTTGAGCAGTTGTCTCCATTAATGCAGTTAGTCCAGAACGCTGCTGCTCGTCTAGTAACAGGCATGACCACATCGCTCCAGTTTTAGCAAATTTGCACTGGCTGCTTGTTCATGTTTGTTTTGATTTGAAGATTGTTTGAATCACTTTTAATTAAATAAATGACTCAGAATCCTATTATTGAACTGAACTTCTTGGCTTACAACTAAAAGAGCACTAAGATTCTCCAGACAGATGCTCTTAGTGCAGCTGAGAGCTAAATTAAAGTGGACTCCTTAAAGGGAAATGGGACAAAACCTGAGTGATTAGGGACTCTTCGTTTGCAGGCTATTTTGAACAACAGCAGCTTGGTTTAAGGACAGTGGCCTCAAACAGCAAACATCACTTCATGATTTAATTCTGACAACAATTCAAATAAGCTGTGATGAGTTTAACTTTGTTTAAAACACAAAGCAGAGTTTAATGTCGAGTGTGTTTGCCGACAGGTGGATACCATGAACTATGTGGGGCAGCTGGCGGGCCAGGTGCTGGTGACGGTGAAGGAGCTGTATAAAGGAATCAATCAGGCCACTCTGTCGGGCTGCATTGATGTGATTGTGGTCCGGCAGCCTGATGGGACGTTCCAGTGCTCTCCTTTCCATGTTCGATTTGGGAAACTGGGGGTGCTACGCTCCAGAGAGAAAGTGGTACACGTCTCACTATACAAAGTTTTAATGCACAATCCAAACAAAATATGCTTCAGTTTGCCTGAAAAAACATTAACTCATAGTTTTGTAATGTATCAAATAAATTTTGAAAATAATCTTCCGTTTTACTAACTTGCTTCTGAAACCCTCTTTACTTTTCAAACACATGAACACATAGCCCGCTCTGCCTCTCACAAGAAAAGATAGATTAATTTTTTTATTTATAAACACTATAATGCAAGTCTATGGAGGACTGCAACAGGATGCAGAGAATTAAACCCAATTTAGCTATTTGCGCTCAACTTATAATAATTTATCTTATTTAAAAACAGCAGAAAGCCATACCACAGATGTGTTTTATCTGCTGTAAGCCTGACGTGATAATCAAAGCATGAAGTAGACAGTGGTTCAGTGTTGCCAGGTGCGAAATGTAGGATTATCGTACTAGAGACATAAAATTATCGTATTTTGAGGGAAATTATCGTACACCCGTCATAACCAAAATAACAAATCTATTGATGCTCTATAGTAGTGATGGGTCCGCTTCCAGACCGACTCTGCTTCTTCTTCTTTTCTTTTCCTCACTCAATTGGCTGGAATTTCCAGCCAATCGTGCATCTGTTTGCGGACACATGCCTTCAGGGTTCACAAAAAAACTCTGACAGACAGTTGCGACAGGCTGATGACAACTGATTACAACCACACATGTACGGAATGGTCAAATTATCGTATATTTGGCCTTTTTTGGGATTATTGATCGTACAGAGGGCAAAATTGTCGTACAAATACGATAATTATCGTACACCTGGCAACACTGCAGTGGTTTGTTTTATACACCATGTGAGGGTTAAAATGATCCTTGACGAAATCAAGTTAGAAAAAACAAAACAGAAACCTTATTTTTTTACTTACTTTGTCATTTTAATATAATTTAAGTAGATTCCCTATTATTTTGCCATTTTTAGTAAGTACAATTAAAACTGCAAGCTATTACTTACCTTTTCTAATAACCTAACATAATCTAGGAGGCTAAGTTTACATTAAAGCCATTTTATTTGATATTTTGCAAGCTGTTTTCTGTCCCTCAGCTCTAAACTTCAGCTTAATCTGGGCTACAGTTCTTATAAGCTGTTTTTACATAACGTGGTTTTTCTGATGGGCTTCATTGTCGTTTGTTACAACCCAAGGGAATCTTTTAAGAAGTGTGGAAACTTGCCAGACAATAAAGCACCGTGTGACTGTAAAACTTTGACTCTGCAGATTGATATTGAGATCAATGGAGAAACTGTAAATCTGCACATGAAGCTTGGAAACAACGGAGAAGCCTTTTTTGTGCAGGAGACTGAGCAGAACAATGTGAGCTTTGTAAGAAACTTTAGTTTTGTTAGAGCTCAGTAGTCTACTGTACTATTTTAATAATTTTCTCTGTCTAACAGGAGATTATTCCTGCTCACCTGGTGACATCACCCATCCCCTCTGAGGAAGTTTTGATCAGGAGCAGAGAGTCTAGATGTGGAGGCGCAATAGAGACCGGTCAGCCTCTCAGTCCAGACCTGAACCCTGCAAACAGCCAGCTCTGCTCGGGCACAGCTGGCAGGAAGAAGAGGAGACGCAGGAGGAAGCACAAAGCTGAGCCACGCAAGGAGGAGCAGGCATGTGCAGGAGGAGAACCAGAGCTGTGTGACTGTAGTTCAGATGAGGAGCAACATGCAAACAGTGGACGGTGAGTTTAAACTAAACTCTGACCAGCTGTTTACTATGACTGTTGTTAATTTTGTTGTTTCATACGATCAGATCGTCATCTGGGTCACTGATGAAGGATCAGAGGCAGCACTCCCCCCTCACTGCCCTGGAATGGGACAGTTACCCTTTCTCTGATGGAGACTGGTCACCCTGCACTGTGTATGGCCCTCCGTCTCTGTCCATTCAGTTATTTACAACAAAACAACTTCATGACAATGAGCAGAGCTTTCCTTCAGGATCATTCCACGAGTTTTGTTTTTACAGGAAGGCGTCTGAACCCACGTCACCCAAAAGTGACTCTGAGCTGATAGTGAAGCCAGCAGAGTGTGGTTTTAGGTCTGAACCCCACATGCAGTGGAGCTGGGGAGAGTTTCCTGAATCTACAAGGGTATGGCTCACTATCTTAGACAAGTTCGCTTCAAAGTCTAATCTTAATTTTTAGGTATCCTTTACAAAAGACTTAATCAAGGTTTTACAAAAGTACATAAATACAGAGTATGTTTAAAAGTTTTCAACCACCTCGGTTTTTTGTTTGTTTTGCTAAAACCAAATAAAAAGGGGACAGACATTCTTGTACTTTTTAAAGGTTAGTAGTTCTTTAGTCTTTCTGAAGGTCTTTCATAGTTTTTGTACTTTAACTGTTTTTTCCTTTCTTTGCAGTCCAGGCTTTGTTCTCAAATATGACACTAAGCATGACTGCATGGCTGAAAAAATGAGGGAAGCTCACAAGTGGAAGACAAAAAAAAAGGAAGTGTCAGCAGATCTGAAAGTGTTATCATTAGGAACTGGTGGGGAAAAAAGTCAGCCTGAGGGATGCATCATGATCAGGGGTGCACATAACTGGTACGCAGGTACGCATGCGCAACAAAAATCAGGAATGCTTAGCATCACCTGTGTTACTTGTTTAGTTGTTTATTTAAGGATCCCCATTACATTCTACCATAGTAGAGACTATTCTTCCTGGGGTCCACACCAAAAAACTTGCAATTAAATCATGCTTTTACAAACATACAAACATACCACATGCCTTTGCATACTTGACCATCAAGCTATCAACACCCAGGCCCGGAGTGGCTAATCGGGGGGATTGGGCTATTTCCAGGTGGGCCGGTCTAATGAGTAGACTGCAGGGCCTGGCGCTCCCTGTTTTTTTTTCAAGAACTTTTTATTAACAACATTAAAACTCAGAACAATGTTGCCGCTACACCAGGGCCGCCCCGCCTCCACCCAGGGCTGGTGGGCGGCGGCAGCGTTATTTTTGCACGAGTCGGATCCGCAATGCCAACAATCAATCCAGTAGGCGTGTCAGCAACTGACCAATTGATGACCTCAATTTGTCCCAAGGTAAACATCCCTTTCCTGCAGATATATGCAGCCATCAGTTATTTTTTCTAAAACTTTATTAACAACACAGAAGAATGCAACAAGATACAAATACAAACTTGTGAAGGGTGTCATTACATTTCACAAAATGGGGAGTTTTACAAAATAATGAAAGAGAAAAAAATGCCAAGGACAAGGAGGTACATCTGCAACATCTGCATCATCTACCATGCAGGAAGCTGAAGCAGAGGATAGTGGGAGTGACACTGAGGAGGACAGTGAGGAAGGTGGTACTTATTAAAACAAAACTGCATATGGGGTGAGTACCAAACACCATCTCCTGGTACTCACCTGAAGAGTCCACTCAAAAAGTTATGTGCACCCCTGATCATGATTATTGACTGTATTATCTTTAGAGTTTTCCCGGGAACAAATAGTTCCATTGTGACAGACAGCTGGTAACAAAGTGTCTGAAGATCCAAATCGCTTTCCTGCTAAATTGTCTGTTGTGTATTGAAACATTTATCCTTTGAGTTTAAAAGCCTTCTTAAAGTCTGATTGGTTCGCAGGTCAAAGTTCAGTGACTCCACAGGAAAATAAGGCTTCCTCTGAAAGTGGACTGAACTAAAAACGAGTGCAAAACTCCAAAGAAAATTTTTTGAAAGACCTTTAGAAAGCTAGGAAAACTGTTGCTCAAGACCCCTTTTAAAAAAGGAGCAAGGAAGTCTGGCTCTTTGGAAACAAAGTATAGGGAAATGAGAGATGACTCAAGACTTTTGAACAGTGTTTTATATTTAACTTTTTTTTTTTTTTGATCTGTGTCCAGGTCAACAAAAGGGACAGATCAGAGCCAAAAACACTGATCATCACGCCCTCAGAGAACACACATTTCAGGGTTATTTCGAGCTTAGAAGCCAAGGAGGGAGAGGCAAGAGTAAAGCAGAGCACAGAAGACCTCATTTGCAATGTTGTGAAACCAGAGCCCCGGACCATCGAACCCCATCAGTGCAGCTGCACCCCGCAGCCCCCTGAAGTTTCTTCACGTGATACAAACTTTTCCCAATCTAGGCCAGAACTTTCAGACATCAAGTCAAGCAGCTTCTCCTCTGAGCTCTGTCCCAGAAACTCTGACCTCAATGCAAAAGATACGCACAAACCCAGATGGACGTCTTTACCGCCCAGCCGCAGGGACAGTGGATCTGCTGCCTGTGGAGGAAGCAAAGAGGTCAGAGACCCCCCAGCTGTTAGTGCTGACGCAGAAACCCCAGACTCGCCCAAACGGAAGGGTAATGCCCTTTATTTGCTACTTTGAATGTGTTTTTATTTGTTGTTTGTAATATGCAAAAGTTATTATTCAAAAAATATGAATGATGAAAAACGCCATGTTTTCCTTTTTCATGATAATTAAATGAATTTAACATCCTTCCACTCCCACCTGTTAAAAAATAAAAAATATTGATGACTTTTGTCTCAAGCTCCATGGTTAGAGCATCTTCCAGATTCCTGTAAGTGACGCTAACTCACGCAGTTTGAATGTAATAAGTGACTCTTCACAGGAAGGATGTGGCTTCTGTTTGCACCTCTGTCTGTGTCTGTGCATTCTCATAGAGAAGTGACCAAAAAGGAAAAGGAAGTGAAACAACATAAAGTCTGTATTTTCTAAGAAGACAGTTTAACATTCTTTCCCCCTCATTTCATAAAGTTGTGAGGAAGAGGAGCCAACATCAAGGCCCTGAAGATATTTACTTGGAAGACCTGAGTGCTCTTGAACCTGATGTTGCAGCTCGATACTTCCCCAAAAGGTACAACACTGGGAATCCTCTCAGTAAGGTTATATTACAGCTTTTATGGTTATGTTAGTTGGTGAGACACCATTAATGGTGATCTATGACCTGTCAACAGAGTCAGAAAATAAATAATCTGTACTTTAAAATACATAAAGCTAGTAGCAACTATACACCGCTGTGATTGAAGTGTCTGAAACTGCTGATGTTGCAGTGAGTCTGAGCACGGTTCTAAACACTGGGTGGAGACGGGGCGACGCTCCGGATCCCAGTCACCCCAGTCAGTGGGCAGTGCAGCGGCAGACAGTGGAACTGAGTGTCTGTCCGACTCTCCTGGCGACCTGCCGGACATCACTCTGTCATTGTGTGGAGGCGCGGGCGACAACTCTGAAATTTCCAAAGGTGATCAGTAATCTCTAGTATCAGTGTTTATTATACTTTACACAATAAAACCAAATCTTACACGTATATTTTCACTTTTTTCAATCTTATTTTTTACCTTTAGCATAAGTTCAAATTTATATTTATCTTACAAATGAAGATATATATATACGGAATATAAAATGCTTAATTGCATTTGTTACAGTTAGAGATGCATGATATTGGATTTTTGGACGATATCCGATATAGAATATGTTAAAACTTATTTGGTCGATAACCGATACCAATACCGATATTTTTCCCTAGACCTTCTTACAGAGACTACATAGCTTTCTCTGTTGAGGAAATAAAATACTACATTATTCTGCATGGTCTTTATCAATTTGTCAATGCAGATGCCAAAAAGGGGGCTGAAAATGATGTAACACTTCAACTTGGATTACCAGTATGTTTAATGTCAAATTTATTCATGACATTTACTCTCTCTAAGACAATAACAACACTCGAACAGCGCAAATTTGTAAATTTCATGGCCACCATGACTTCATCGTAATGGTCGTAATGGTGGTTCTTGAGATGGTTAATGAGGTTTGAAGTGTTGTAGGACTTTGTTTAATCTCCTCCTTGCATCACTGACACTGAGCAGTCATTGCAACTAGCAGTTCTGCTATCAGTTTCCGACACTAAAAAACTTCCACACTGCCGACATTTTCACTTCTTCCTCTCCCGCGGTGATCAGATCAGGCGCACATGACGTCACAACTTTGTGCTGGCGATGCAGGCATCCTTCTCACTGGGTTGTCATACAAAAACAGTGCCTTTCATATGTACTGTATATATATATATA